CTGCAAGTCCAATGCAGGCAAAGCCATGCTGCAATGCACACTTGTTTTTACATCGTAAAAACTCATGTCTAGTTTTATTTTTGAAAAATTTTCAGATAAAGACAACAGGAAATCTTCTTGCATAGATTATTTTTCTTTTTTTTTTAAACAAAATGTGATGTTCGGTTGTTTTCTGCACCTTAAGTTTGTCCTTACAACCTTCTTTATCTGTTGAGTTTTTTAAAACGTCAGGATTTGATCTTAACAATGTCACCTCTGTTGCTCCACAGGGTCCCTTAGGTCTTAATGGCCCACCTGGATATCCTGGAACTCCTGGAATGAAGGCAAGTAACGACTCACCTGTAGATCACCTGCACTGAAACAGATCAGCCCGTCTGAGGTTTTAATCCTAAGTTAAAAATAAAAAATATATTTTATGTACTCAACAACTGGTTTCCACAGGGACAACCTGGTCCCACTGGAGTCCGAGGTCCAGAAGGCCCACAAGGACAAAGGGGAGAGACAGGTCACCAAGGCAGAGTTGGACCCGTTGGCCTCAGGGTTAATATTTGATAATATTTGTTTTTAAACATCATAATATAAAAAACAACACTCTTAAAGAGCTTATTTTAATTTTATTTATGTTTTTTTAAAGGGCACCATGGGTACAGATGGAGGTCCAGGTGCCAAAGGACCAGTGGTTTGTGGACACTTTTTAAAATTCAGTCAAATTCTCTGGTTGTAACACGAACGTGAGACAAACACGGCTCATGTTTTTTACAGGGTAATCTTGGTCCTCAAGGTCCTGGAGGCCACCCCGGTCCCTCTGGTCCACCAGGACCTCAGGGAAGCACCGGTCAGCCTGGTATAAAAGGAACAGGAGTAAGCTGACTCTTCAGGTTTGACTGGTTTCTTCAGGAATGTGACGGAGGTTTATATTTTCACACTTCTGTTTTAAAGGGAGACATCGGTGTCCCGGGCTTTAAAGGCGAGGCCGGACCTAAAGGAGAACCCGTAAGATTCTGATGGAACACTTTCAGCTGAATAAAGGGGAGACGTAAAGCTGAGCTCCTGTTCTCTGGTTTGTCTCAGGGACCACCAGGCTCCCAGGGAGTGATCGGACCTCAGGGTGAGGAAGGAAAGCGAGGACTACGTGGAGACCCCGGTTCTGTCGGCCCTCAGGGTCCAGTGGGTGAAAGAGTGAGTTGGAAATTTTATGTTTTACTTTGTGCTCACAGTGAACTGTTTGCCCTGTAATTTAAATATAATTTATCTTTATAAAATATTAACATAATGAGATCAGAATCATGATGTTTTTCCAGGGTTCTCCAGGAAACAGAGGATTCCCCGGTGCCGACGGTCTACCAGGACCAAAGGTACTTTTTATTCTCTGTGAATATTTAACTTTAAAAATGTTTTATTTAAGTATGTTTTTCTCTCTGTCTCTATTTTCTCTTTACTTACAAAAAAGTCACTGATGATGAAGAAATAAATATAATATTTGGTTTCGTTTTGACACAAAAAAATAAAAAATAAAATAAAATAAAAATGTTTTATTTGCAAAGTTAACATATTTTTAATTATTGCAAAGGGTGCGCAAGGAGATCGGGGCACATCTGGTCCACCAGGGCCAAAAGGTTCTCTAGGAGACCTGGGACGTCCTGGAGAGCCTGGTCTACCAGGTGCAAGGGTAACACAAGAGCTTGGACTTTTACTTTTAAGCTGGATTTTAGATAATCACAACTTGAAATATATATTTTGACCTTTAAATYTCTAAATACTAAAGATCTGATCAATTTTCTTCAGGGTCTTACTGGTACCCCAGGAGTCCAGGGGGCAGAGGGCAAGCCAGGACCACTGGTAGGTCTTTAAAGTCTTCACACTGCACTTACGTGTACTGCACTTGTTTTGTTAAGTTTTGTTGATTTAATGGTTCAAACAAAGCACTAAAAGGGAATAAAATACAAACAATTACAAAATATACAATGAGTTTGAAGTACTTTATTAGTTAGAAACTGATTTAGAAGCACCACAATATATTCATCGTTTTCCTTTTTAATTATTGACTTTTATAATCCAATGTTTAACTATTGTTATGTCTTGATTAAAATAGTTTAGATACAGGCCCGAAACATTTTTACAACACATAAGAAACCGTTTSTAATACATTAGGGGAGTGTTGTCGTTCAGAGTGCCTGCGATGCAGCCGTAGGCCAGTAGGGGGCGSWSCAGGCACTGAAGACTCTATAAAAGGACCKGAAGTTCCGGGTTTCAGGCAGCGCTGCTCAGATTGTTTCTAGTCTAAGCAATAAAGCTTCACTCGTAACCAGATCTGGGTTGTACGGTCCCTATTCCTGTCACAGTTTAATCTGTTCAATATTTATGTGGTTTTGTCACGATTTCAGTKAACGAACACAAAATATTCTTACAAGTTCAATAAAAGATGCATTATAAACTGAGAATTAAATGCAGAATGATAAAAGTCCTCACTGGACATAGAGACACAAATCAGGAATTGGAATCATTTTCTAAAGCTCAAATTACAGTTAGTGGAAAAATAAAAGACCTGATGAAGTTTGGACACAAGTCGCAACAAGCTGTTACACCAGGGTTTGTTTGTTTGTTTGTTTGTTTAGGGTGCCCCTGGTGAGGATGGTCGCCCAGGCCCAGCAGGACCTATTGGAAACCGAGGCCCTGCAGGAACTATGGGAGTCCCGGGTCCTAAAGGTTTCAATGTAAGCTGGAGGTTTACTCCAATCTGTGTCGACCTTTGGTCCCGTTTCTAATTTTAAATGTTTTTCCTCAAAGGGTGACCCAGGAAAAACTGGTGAACAGGGATCTCAGGGAGTGCCGGGTCAAAGGGTAAGCATCACGATGAAGAGGACTTCATCATAGMTCACACGAGACTCCAGGTCTACATTGGGTTTATTGCCTCTTTTATCAACAGGGACCCCCAGGAAAAGATGGAGAAGTTGGTCCTGCAGGACCCCCTGGTCCTCCTGTAAGTATTTACTTCCTGTTGTACCCCATGACTCTTAATACTGATAMATATAATCATTGTCTTGTTTCAAAGGGTCCTGCAGGAGACAGAGGAGAGCAAGGTCCACCGGGAGTCAATGGATTCCAGGTGTGTTAAAGAGCATTTTGAAGCACTTCAACAGGATGTACACTGGTTTTGGTTGATTATTTTCCAATAATAAACTTGTGACTGGATTATTTCTCTGGTTTGAAGTAAGATGAAGTGTATAATCTGTGTAAAACCAGATAAAAGTTTAAGTAATTCAAATGAGCTCTGATTCGAAGGTTTGACACTTTTCTTCYCAGGGTTTGCCAGGAAACCTAGGCCCTCCTGGAGAACCCGGTAAACCAGGTGACCAAGTGAGTCCAACAAAACACAGACATAAAACACATTAACTGTTGATTTGTGCCTTATTGTTTGGATTAACACAACATAATCTCTCCCTCAGGGAATTCCTGGAGAGATCGGTCCTGTGGGTCAGATTGGACCGAGGGTACGTGGATTTCWTATTTTAGATCCGCTCTTATTTTGACACTGAGAACTTAGCTGATGTCCGACTTGTAGGGAGAGCGAGGGATCCCAGGAGAGAGAGGAGATCTGGGGCCAACTGGTTTGCAGGGACCCAAAGGAATTCCAGGTGCCCCTGGTCCGGACGGACCAAAGGTATTGTTGTTTTTGTCATCACAGGAACMGTCTTTGTTTGTAACAATGTTTTAGTTTCAACAATCCTGACATTTTTCACTGCAGGGCAGTCCTGGTCCAACTGGTGCTGTGGGAGACGTAGGTCCGCCTGGTCTTCAGGGAATGCCTGGAGAAAGAGGAATTTCTGGTCCTCCTGGGCCCAAGGGTGACCGAGTATGTTGAGCTTAATCTTATAAAATAATAATAGTTTGATCGTCATTGAAGGTGCCAGTAAAGTTCAATAAATCACTTTARTTACAGATTTGCAAACTAGTGATTGTTTTAACTTTTATTTTCAGGGAGCAGTTGGTGAGAAAGGATCCGAGGGGACGCCTGGAAACGATGGTGCGAGAGTGAGTACGGCATCTTTACCTCGCAGCGAACACAYGCTCCCCTGGCTCGGCCTCAGACGACGACGTTTAATTTACGCTTCTGGGACCAAAATAAACTGTAGCTGCTGATGGATTCTCAGACTTGTTCCAGCTTGTGTCTGCTGACAGAACTGTGCTGTGCTGTCAGTCCGAGACAACGGTGAGGAGCAGATCTCTCAAACTAGTTTTATGTATTGTCCACAGGGAGCCCCCGGTCCCGTTGGCCCACTCGGACCTGCTGGACCCAGTGGTGAAAAGGTTGGTTTTTTTCTAACAGTTTCATGCTGCCACTATGGAATGTTGAGCTGGATTTAAATATGTAACTTCTTCACAGGGTGAACCTGGACCCAAAGGACCAGCTGGGCCTCCAGGATCTAGAGGAACACCTGTACGTAGACCCGACCGGTCCTTTTCAATCAGCAACGAGCACATGTCGGCCTTGTTCGCTGTTTTACCGCAAATGAAGTAAAAGTTGGTGTTCTTTCAGGGATCGAGAGGCGACCCCGGTCCGATCGGTGCTGTTGGATTCTCTGGACCCCCTGTGAGTAAACATGATGCAGTCGTGGCTCGCAGTGATAGTCCACGTGATCTAGGCTGTGACTGCTAACCGTACCAACACGTTGTAGGGTCCTGATGGTCAACCTGGAGTCAAGGGAGAGCCTGGAGAGCCAGGCCAGAAAGGTGATGCCGGTTCTCCGGGACCTCAGGGTTTGGCTGGTGCTCACGGACCCCCGGTGAGTTTAAAACATAAATAAGTGTGGTTTTTTTACACTCAGCTGCCTTTATTAATTTATTTGATTTAGTATTAAAGGTAGGTTTTAATTTTACTGCAGCGTTTTACTSAGGGTTTATCTGAAGTGTTGGTTTATATTTTTAGGGTCCAACTGGTGTTTCAGGTCTGAAAGGAGGAAGAGGAACTCAGGGTGCACCGGTAAGATCGAAAAGACAAAAATAACTTTTACCAATAACTCTTTCTTCACCTCACTGAGACTTTAACACCTGATGTATCAATTCAAAATAATAGTTTTTGTTTTTAAGGTTTTTTTTTGCAAAGGATTCTGTTATAAATATGTCAAACTTGAGGGGTTTTCTGATCACAGGGTCCCACTGGTTTCCCTGGATCTGCTGGAAACGTTGGACCTCCAGGCCCTGCTGTAAGCWCCACCAATAACACATAAATAATACATTTCCAGAATGAAACCCAACATTCATTATCTGTGCAAACAAGAGATTAACAATCTCAGGAAAACTCTGGTAAAAATGTATAAATTAAATGGATTTTTAATCGCATTTTATTACATCTTTTCTCAGGGTCCAGTTGGAGAAGCTGGACCACAGGGAGCCCCAGGAAAAGAAGGTCCTCCTGGACTTCGTGGTGATCATGGATCCCCTGGAAGACAAGGAGAGCGAGGACCTCCAGGACCACCTGGGAGCCCTGGAGACAAAGGCGACGCTGGAGAGGATGGCCCCACGGTAACTTGATGCTTCCCAGCGTTGCGACTGTTTTCTGGTTTCTCTGTCAAAAGTAACAAAAGTTACATTTTCTATTTTTTTTTGTTGATTTTAGGGTCCCGATGGACCTCCAGGCCCAGCTGGAACCACAGGACAGAGAGGTATCGTGGGTCTTCCTGGTCAGAGAGGAGAACGTGGGATGCCGGGTCTTCCTGGGCCAGGGGTTGGTTTCACAGAACTCCTGTTTTATCTGAAGTTTRAACAAATAATTCATCGTTAGCGTTTGATGTTAAACTTCTTGGTTCTGACAGATGTTTGTCTCAGAACCAAACTCTGTCTGGTTTTTTATATCTTGTACTGCTTGGCCTCTTGTTTTAGGGTCCACCAGGAAAACAGGGGTCTCCAGGACAAGCAGGAGATAAAGGACCACCAGGTCCTGTTGGTGTTCCTGGTGCTAATGGACCTCGGGGTGATCCTGGTCCAGATGTATGCAGCTTTTAAAAAAAACTCCTTCACAATTTACATCTCCTCTGGTCTGATGATGGTTTCATGTGTCTGCTCTTCAGGGTCCTGCAGGGTCTGATGGTCCACCAGGAAAGGATGGAGTCCTCGGACAAAGGGTAGGATCTAAAAACAGATTTTAGCTTTGACTTTCACACAGCAAGCGACTAACAGTGGTTACGTTGCAGGGAGACCGAGGAGATCCTGGTCCAGAGGGTATGATTGGTCCACAAGGTCTTCCTGGACCTCTTGGTCCTGTTGGTGCACCAGGTGATCCAGGAAAGAGAGGAGAGCCTGTAAGTTTTCTTCTGTTCTGATTGAAATGATGTGTTTGAGTACTTTAAGTGTTTAAAGAGAAGTCTGGTCTACCCTTCTGCAGGGCTCAAGAGGGCCTCAGGGTCCACCTGGAGCTGCTGGGAAAAGAGGATTGGTGGTAAGTCTCAGTTTTTATACCAAATGTTTCAACTAACCTTTCTTTACGTAGACACAGATCAGTCCTGCTGCTGAAGCTTGTGTAGAACGTCTCCATTTCAAGACTGGTAAAATTTGTTCAACCATTTCCAAATCAGGGACCACAAGGACCAAGAGGAGATAAAGGCGACCTGGGTGATCATGGAGAGAGGGGTCAGAAGGGACACAGAGGCTACACCGGTCTGCAGGGTCTTCCTGGATCTCCGGTGAGTTCCAGCAGCTCTCAGTGAGCAGTTTTTATCCACGAAGCTACAGAAACATCTTGTTTGGTCTGAACTCAAAACCTTCCAACATTTTCTCATTTCCAACTCCTCCCCTTCTGACTCTTGGTCAGTATTGACATTTCCTATTGCATCCAGCCTAGAAACACCTTCATTTGAGACCAGAAACTTGTAGTACCATGTAAACTTAGAGATACGCAGAAAACACGTAAAGCTCCACTTTTTAAAAACAAATCCCAGAAGATGAGTTAGATTTAAATTATCTGATGCATAAAGAAACAAAACCATCATCATCAGAGCAGGAGACTGATCCATTTCTGTTTATCTGTTAGGGTACGACTGGGGAGCAGGGAACTTCAGGGATTATTGGACCAAGTGGCCCGAGGGTGAGTTCTACAAACTACATTAATTTATCTAGTTATGGTTTGATGCTTGATAAATCGTTGAATTAGTTTGAAACTAGTTGGTAACAATAATTTCTGGAAYATGATTCAGGGTCCTCCTGGGCCTATCGGGCCCCCTGGGAAAGAGGGATACATGGGCCAGCCAGGGCCAATGGGACCTCCAGGAACTCGTGGATTCAGTGGAGAAATTGGACCCCAGGTAGGATCTCTGCCAGACGAGGCAGTTCTAAAGATGTCTGAACAGGAAACCRTGTGTGGGTAAAATGAAACAGAAATGCAAAAAGCCATTTGTGAAATCAATAGGGCCCCCCAGGAGAGGACGGTCCCCCTGGACCCCCAGGACCTCCAGGACCACCTGTGGCAGCCATAGACGACCTCTTCGGTGGCCCGCAAGATTACGACTCTGGACCCCCTCCTCCTCCAGAGTTCAGTGAAGACGAGGCTCTGCCCAACAGCAACGCCTCGGCCATCGTGCCCGTGGACCCCGGTGTTCAGGCCACCCTGAAGGCCCTCAGCAGCCAGCTTGAGAGCATGAAGAGCCCCGACGGCAGCAGGAAGCACCCTGCCAGGACCTGCGATGACCTGAAGAGATGCTACCCCATGAAGAAGAGTGGTACGTTTCACAGAGGAGCAGGGGCCAAGGCGTGCAACAGCCTCTCGACTAACTCTCATCCTGATCACTTTCAGGGGAGTACTGGGTGGATCCGAACCAAGGCAGCGCAGAGGAYGCCATCAAAGTTCACTGCAACATGGACACCGGGGAGACCTGCATCTCGGCCAACCCTTCCAGCATTCCTCGTAAAGTGTGGTGGAGCACCTCCAGGAACAAACCCGTGTGGTTCGGAGCCGACATCAACAGCGGAACACACGTGAGCCGTTTGCCTTTTACGATTTAGGTCCAAATTACGGAGCTTCTTTTGAAGAAGAGAAGCGGCGTTAACGTTCTGCGTCTGTGTTTCCAGTTCACCTACGGGAACAAAGATCAGCCTGCGAACTCGGTCACGGTGCAGATGACCTTCATCCGTCTGCTGTCCAAAGAGGCAGCTCAGACCATCACCTACCACTGCAAGAACTCCGTGGGCTACAAGGACGCCAAGACGGGCAACATGAAGAAGGCCGTGATCCTTAAAGGCTCCAACGACCTGGAGCTCAAGGCCGAGGGAAACAACCGCTTCAGATACACGGTGGTGGAGGATTCATGCTCGGTAAGTTGGTCTCTGTTCTAATAAACTCTGAGTGTGGATTCACWCCAGGAAGGTCCTTTGGTCCACTTGTTTTTGGACCAAACAGCGGCCTATGTTTTCCTTTGGTGCACTTTGCGTTAGGTGACAGTCATTGCTCCCATTGGACAGAAATGACGAGGGGTGGGACAGAGCACAGACCAGGAAATAAAGATGGTGTTAATACAACTGACCATTAAGAATATCAAGAGCAGCTCATTTTACAGCAGTTTAATGATGATATACTTATAATTTTGGGACAGTGTTGTCAAATTTGTGCTGCAACCTAAAGGAAACAAGTTTCTTCACGTTCCCTGACCCACAATGGCTCATTGTTTCATAGTGTTAGCATTAGCAACACCGGAGGGCTAATGTTGCTTCGTGACAATGATTCATGAAGTCCAAAAAGGTGCATGTTTCCTGTCGTTGGTTCGGTTCCAGGCCGGTCTGTATTCACTCCAGAAGTGAATGTACCAGAGTTCGTTTGGAAGCAGACTGAGACCACCTCAGAAATGGGTCTCGATCTGGTTGTTTGATCCACACCAGGGTTCACATGAGTGTATTCACATCTGCATAAATGGTGCGAACCAACGGGGGAAACGAACTCTGGTACATTCACTTCTGGAGTGA